TTTTTTAAAATTAATATTCAATGAGATTATAACAAAATGAACCAACCCAAGATTCCATGATACAAACAGTCTGCTGGAATTTATAATTCTTTTTTTTTTTTTTTTTTTGGCAGAACCAAGGATTGTACTCAAGCCCTTGCACTTGCCAGCGAAGAGCTTATTCTACTGAGTCATCTCCCTGGCCCTTGGAATTTATAATTCTACTAACTAATCCAGTTATATCCTGATCCTGACAAGCTTTGGTGTATAAGGGTTTGCTGATGATAATCATGTGTGTTCCTTTAATGTTTGCTTGAAAGTGTTTTCATTTTCTCTTACTGTCATTTGTTTCCAAAAAGTTTCTTTACCACTGTCTGCACAATGAATCCCCAACTTACAAATCCTTGAGGCGTGAACTTTCACAGACATAAATGGACCTCTCATTACCAACATCTCTCGATGAGAGCAAATCACAGACATGACTGACATGTCTGCCAGATACTGTCTTAGTTGTGCTGCTGTGTGTTTACTGTACACTGCAACTATGACTGTAGAGGTAAAAACAGTTTATTTAATTATTTTAATGTGTTGTAACACCACTTTAAGGTAACTGTAAAAATAAAAATGGCTTATTCACAGTATTTTTTCAGAGTTTTTCATACTTTGCATTGCATATCTGTGTCAAAGATGTGTAAGACTCACTTCATTGGGCTTATGAACAAATCTGACTTCTCCCAGAATGTTCTCTCAGAGTAGAACTCTTGCAAGTCAGGGATTTACTGTATCTAATATCTAACTGTAGATTATAGTACTTTGAAATGCTAAAATATAAGATAAAATATTCTAAAATGATTTAGTGGAAAATATGATACACATTCAGGTAATGTTAACATCATTCCCTCTATTTTTCAAGTATATTAAAAGTTTCAACTGTTGTCCTCTTGTTTATGGCAAGAGATCTGTTATGGTTACTTTATTTTCACTGCTGAGACAAAATTCCTGATGCCCAAAATTAAAGAAGGAAAAATTTATTTAGCTCACAGTTTCCGGAGGTTTCAAACCATACTCATATGGCTGCAGGACAGAGTGACACATGGCAGAGGGCAACAGTTTATGGTGGCAGAAAATAGCAAAAACAACAAAAGCAAAATAGGGGGCACCCAGGGCAAGTGTAGCACTCACATTTGTAATCCTAGTGCTGGACCACAAATTCTAAAAGCCTTCCCCATGAGTGCACGAGGCTTTAGGGGGACATTCAGACATAAACTATAACATTTTGGCCTTGGCCTCCCCAAACACTCATGCACATCCCTTTATTCAAAAGACATTTTAGTCCATTGCTAAGAGTTGCCAAAGTCCTAGAAGTTTCAACATTGCTGAAAAGTCCAAGTCCCAAGTCTCTTCAGAGACATAAAGCAAACTCTTAGCTATAAGCCCCTGTACAAATGAAAAATTAAACATTTCCAGCATTCAATGGCACAAGATAAACATTGCTGTTCCAAAAGATACAAACAGGAAGTACAAAGGAATGAGACCAAAGCAAGTCAAAAATCCAGAAGGGCTAACATTAAGTCCTATAGTTTCATTGCAGCATCTGGAGCAATCTGTGGTAAACTGTGTGCTCCAAAGAGCTTATGTGGCTCCATTCCTACGGCACTTGTGGTGGTTGTGGCTCCTATGACTTCTCTCAGGCCTACTTTGCTCCCTTCTTGCACCTTTCCTCAGACAATCCACATGCCTGACTTCTTCAAACTTCTAGGGTCTCCATTCACATCTTTGGCTTCACCCTCACCACTTCCTATATTGCCATCTCATGAGCACACTGCTGGCATCCCCCGCCTCCTTTTGAAATCTGGTTGGAAGCCTTTTAGAGCTCAGAATTCTTGCATTCTGCATATGCCTAAAACCAGCACCATATGGATGATGCAGTGGTCTGCTGCCAACTGGATCAGTAGTGAGGCTCTCTTCTCTTTTAGTCATAGGGGTCAAATGCTTAGATCACTGCACACTCTGACCCTGATTCTGAGGAACAAATTCTCTATGCTGCTGCTGCTATTCCAGCACATGGCACACCTGCTACCATTTCAGAACCTGGTACAATGTTGCTGCCATCCTAGAACATAGTGTGGCTGCCACCATTCAGGAACACAGTGATCTTGGGCTTTCTCCTCAAAGTCTTTCATTTTTGCAGATTCAGGGCACAAATGGTGAAGTCTTTCTCCTTTTTGTAATGCCTTCAGGCCATCTTTTATATTCTCCTGTCTGTTCTCAGCAATCCAGATCTCCTCAGCTCTATCTTTGCAGTTCACGGATTTACTGTAGCTTTCTTTCTGGCCAAACTTACAACATTTTAAATCATCCTGCTGGGTTTTTTGTACTTGATTCTCAGCATTAATCTGACTAAAAGCCCCACAAACAATTGCCATGCTACCACCTCAACATTAGATTCCCTTGAATATTTTTTGCCACATTAATTAATCTTCCACTCTTAATCTCAGTCTCAGGCAAAGTCTCTGGACAGGAACAACATGCAGACAAACTATCTGCCAAGCTATAATTTATATCATCTAGAGTACAGCAATCAATGCAGTCCTTCCCAGCAGAAACCTCCCAAGCCAGTCTTTGCCAGCAGGATTTCTATCAGCCCTGTGGTCTTCTGAGCTCTATCCAGAACCTCCCATACAGAGCAGCTGAAGGTGTTCCAGCTATACTCTTTCAGAAGACATGTCTGAACCTTTCCAAACTCTTACCAATAGCCATTCCCAAAAGCTCTTGAACCACATAGTCAGGCACAGTCACAGCAAAAGCCCCACTCTTAGTACCAAATTCTGTCTTGTTTGCTTTTTTTCTTGTGACAGACAAAATATCTGACACCCAAAATTAAGGAAGGAAATGTTTACTTACCCCACAGTTTGTGGAGGTTTCAATCCATACTTGGCTGGTTCCATGGCAGAATGGCAGGCACATGGCAGAGAGCAACAGTTCAGTGGCAGAAAACAATGAAAGCAAGAAAAGCAAAAATGGAGGAGCATGAAAAAAGCAAGACTCTTTCCCTTCCTTACACTGTATTCAGGCTGCCCAAGCTAAGGTGGCTGTAGAACTCGCACCCATAATCACAACATTGGACCATGAATTAATCACAAATTGTATGACTGCATGAAGCTTGGGGGGGGGGGTAAAGCTGAACACAAACCATAACAAGATTAAACAACTGTGTCCTCAGCATTACCACACAATAATGATCCACATCATTATTTTTGAAATTTGAACAAATGCAACGCACAACATAGAGAAGCCAAAACCAGAGAAAAGATAGTCAGGATCCCTCAGTTTCCTATGTTCAGTTCAGTTTCATGTCTGCTGCTTGAGGTCTCATTCAGGTTACCACAGGTCTTCTGGTTGTGTGTTCCTTTAGCGTCTTCTTGGATGTTCTAGCTTTTCAGAATTTGTTTTTAATATCTTATAGACTTGAAAAATACTTATAAGAATAAGCAATTTTGATGGAGTTAAATAAAAGCTAACCATTTACATTTTACTTTAATATTTGATTCCTAAGTAGCTAATGGTGGGAAACAAAAGTATAAAGAAATAAGTGGAGCCATACCCAACCTAGGAAAAAAATCACAGTAAGGTGGAGAGACAGCCTAAAGAATGGGAGAAAGGATTTGTCAAGCTTTCATCAGACAGAAGGATAATAGTTAGAATACAAAACTTAATAGAAAAGCAAATAATCTAATGTAAACATTTGCACATGACTCTAACAGACTCTTCACAAAAGAGTAAAAACAATTGGATAAAAAATATAAGAAAATGTTCCATATTGTTAGCTACAAAGCAAATATGAATCAAAACCACAATGATATATCATGTAACCCCAGTTAGAAAAGATATTACCAAAAGAACAAATGAAGTCAAATAACAAATTCTGAGGAAAAAATGGGGAAGAGGAACTCGCACACTGCTGTTAGGAAAGCAAATCAGTGAAACCATTATGGAGATCAGTATGGAGTCCTTGGAATCTAAATCTAGGTCTATTAGAGGAAGTACCTGGATGATCCAATCCAGTGGATGTATATCCAAAGAAACCAAAGTGGGCCTCCCAGGGGCTGAGGAGATAGCTTGGTGGCCTAAGCACCTGCCTGTAAAGTGCAAGGACCCGGGGTTCAATTCCCAGTACTACATTCTATACCAGCCTCAGAAACCCAGGTTCCTGTACCAGTGACCAAAACCATGGTGGCACATGCCTGAAATACCAGTACTGGGGGTGGTGGGCTGAGACAGGAGGATCATTATA